TTAATGTAGGTTAAACTTCAACGTCACCAGGCCAAAAAAAAGCAAAGAATATTTAGAAAGGCCTTGAAACAGGTATTGCGCATGTCAAAGGTAAATGCCCTATCGTCTCTCAAGCAAAAGTTATCAGCAATGTTAAAGTTTTTTGAAAATCAGGTCAAATTCAAGGTCAAAGTCTTGGGGTTAAAAATCATAGTACATTTGGAAATGCTTGTCACAGGTATAATGCAGGTGTCAAATATAAAAGCCCTATCTTTTCTCATTCAAAAGTTATAACCAATGTTATACACGTAATTTATGAAAAGTTAGGTTAGGCGTCAAGGTAAATATCACGAGGTCAAAAAACAGTATATTTCGAAAGGTATTGTCACAGGTAATGTACATGTGAAATATGAAAGCCCTATCTTTTCTCGTTCAAAAGTTATGACCAAGGTTAAAGTTTGTTAAAAGTTTTGAAAAGTAGGTCAAATTTCAAGGTCAAGGGGTCAAAAATCATAGTATGTTTGGAAGGGACTTGTCACAGGAATTTTAAATATTTAAAATGAAAGCTCTATCTCTTCTCATTCAAAAGTTATTACCAAGATTAAAGTTTTTGTGACAGACAGACGGACAGACTCACAGATGAATGAGATTCAATAACATCCACTCGCTTTAATAGCATAGGAATAAAAAAAAATACGTGTATTTGTACTTCGCTAACTCGGTGAGATTAGGAATACAATCTAATAAAGTTAAATGTGACAAATGACCAAAATGTTGTCGTCACTAAACACTAAACTTTATAAGCTGAGTGTCTATTTTATCATGTAGTTCACGTGTACCAAGCCTTATTTATCTACAATGCAGATGAAGATAGAACAATTAACAAAGTAAATGGATATTCTAAAAGGAAATTGGGCAATAACACTGTATTAGGAAGACTAACCCTGACTTTCTAGAGGATTATATTGACTACTAATATTGACAGTATGAAATTCTCTAACAGCTGACTGACCGATGGCTTTTATTATGGATCACATAAAACAGAGTGGCTACAAGCAAATTCAAAGAAATTTGGTTCCCCACTTTCGGTGTCTTAGTGATTGGGATGTAATTATTTATGGCATATTGTTTATTTTGTGTTTCCTGAATTGCCTGACCATCATACAAAATTGAATTAATAAAAGTTACGGCAAAGATTAAAGCTTCTCAAACTTGCATAAAACCTCAATATCAAGGTCATGAGATCAAATATCATACTATAATCCAAAAGATCTTGTCACAGATAATGCACATGTGATAAAATATGAAAGCCCTGTCTCTTCTGAAGTAAAAGTTATGGCCAAAGGTAAACTTTTTGATAAGCAGGGCAAACCTTTAAGTCAAGGTCATGAAGTTAAAAATTATAGTTCTTCCTGAAAGGCGATTTCATAGGTAATGTACATATGTAATACGAAAGCGCTATCTTCTCTCATTCAAAAGTTAAACCAATTTTAAAAAAATGAAATTTGAGGTCAAAAAACCATAGTACATTCGGAAAAGTCTTGAAAAAGGTACATGTAATGCACTTCAAAAATAAAAGCCAATCTTCTCTCATTTTCACCTTCAAAAGTCAGCAACATTTTTTTTTTGAAAATTAGGTCAAACTTCAAGGTCAAGGTCACGGGGTCAAAACTCAAAGCACTTCTGGAAATTTTTTGTCACAGGTAATGTACATGTTAAAAATATTCTCTCATTCAAAAGTTAAAACCAATGTTAAAATATTTGAAAAGTAGGACAAACTTCAAGGACAAGGTCAGGGGTTAAAAAATCATAGTTGTCACAGGTAATACATATAGTACAAATATCATTTCTGCTTGAACTTTCAGTAAGGCGTGATATTCTTTTTATTTTGTTTTCTTCTGGTAAAAAGCAGTCTTCATTATTTATTTGATGGAACCCAGAGAACAGAAAGATCGCTTTCTGTAAAGCTCTCGTACTTTTTACTGTGTATTGGCATTTTTGTACGTGACAACAAACGAAAACTTGTGATAATTTGCAGAATATATTGTAGCACAGATTTCGAGCAAATACTTCTCTTTGGCACATATTATAGTCATAGTGTAGCAGACACCACAAATGTTGTCTTTTTTATTCGGAACAGACAACTCCTCTAGTTAATTACAGTCTGCTTTTTTATGGAAATGTTTAAAGCATGTTTAGATACCACAATCCAATTACCACGAGAGCAGAACCCATTAAAAGGGAGAATTATACAGGCTCAAGCAGTGTTATGTCATCGCATCTTTAAGGCTTGTGTCTGTGAAAATGTTTATTGAAATAAATATATAAACCATGAATCTATCCATGCACTCATGAGAGTATATTTGTCGGTATTAAATGAAAAAACTAAAGTACTCTTGCGCAAGATCTATATATATATATATATATATATATATATATATATATATATATATATATATATATATATATATATATATATATATATATATATATACTAGTATGATTCCAATATGTTGCGGGTATTGTCGAATTAAGTTCAAAGCAATCATTTTGAAGTCTGATATTGCCATTCAAGGAACTTTTTTAAAGTTTTGTGGGTGTTATTAGTGTGTAAATCACACAGATCTGTCACGTAGGCATTTCTCATGAGGCACACTATCGAATATCCCTGTTTTCTCTCCGAGAAATAAAACAAAAAATATCCCATTTTCTTTCATAATCGCAACAAAATAACAGCAAATACAATGTATGTATCCATGCTGAGAAATATATTTACTTACAACAGATTACCATAGAGCACCCGGAATACAAGCCTATCTGTATTTTTTATTACAAGGAAAAATTCATTTTTCGGTTTGAAAATAGCTCTATCAAACAATTGTGGCCACAGTGATGATTTTAGAATTTTTTTCTCACCCAACAACTGTTTTTTTCCCTCCAGATTATGACTGTTCACTTAATGTGCAGTCACTCCGTGTAATTTAGAGCCGACATTGGCTCCCTTTTCCTTCTTATACGGACATGGTACAGTGATGACGTAAAATCAACCATAGTACGTTACCGGCTCCTATCCAACCAACAGGCATATATTATATATAAACAGAATATGCAAAGATGTCATCTGATACTTCAAATTAGGTGAACAAAAAATTGAATTAAAAAATAATACGGAATGCGGAACAGAAAACCAAAGTAGTCAACAATACCTTGTTTATCGTGTGTAAATCCTAGAGTTCAATAATTAGATTCCAGTCTCTGGTGGACTGATATAAACCTACAGACTAATTAGATAATGAACATGTAGTGATGACGTCACGGTCAGAGACACTGACTGACAAAGGGAATCAATAGGTTTTTGTAGTTCATTCTATTTTTGATATCTTGTCCGATATGCTGAATGGAATAAAAAAAATGTAAATGTGACTGAACCTCGGACACACTTAATGATGGAATTGCGTGCTGGAAATAAACAATTAACACAAAGTGATTTAAGTTTGGGCACCTTCAGTGCTCATCTTTGAGGTTTTATAAATGAACGATGTCTTTAAACTTCCTGTATTGTTTGGTTTAACACGCCGTACGAGAAGGGTATCACGCTTTATGGATGAGTTAAAGGCTTGATCAGATCAAGTTATATTTTTATAAACGTATCAATAAAGTTATCTATTCCACTAATCTGCTTGTTTATTGTGAATTGTAAGTCCATCTCAATCAATCTAGGGAGACCTTGATATTAACAAAGTGTAATTAATAGAATGATACATAGAAATGAAGAAACGAACCCGATATTGGTAACATATAACGTTGCACGTATTAATTGTAAGTAATGACTTTTTTGCAATATGGAAAAAAAAATTTATCAGAGACATGATTGAATATCACTTGAAGCATAATGTTCACAAAGAGCAGTCTGTTTGTAAACAGTCCGGCATGGTCAATAGACTGGAGGGCAGAAAAGTCAGGTCATGGCCCGACCAATGAGTACAAAAAGGGCACTTATCCGCTCAACACACGGGGTACAAAATGAATATCCCTTTCAGTTTGAAAGTTCATCTTTTTGGCGATTAGTCATGGTCACTTTATGTACATGTACCTGACTGTCGTTAGCTTAAGAAAATGTTTGTGTTTCATGCGGACATATCTCAAATATAATAAGTCAGTTGTTTTTAAAATACTGTATTAAAAAAAATTTGACCACCAGTACATGAGAAAAACCACATCAACCTGACTTAAATTATCTCAATACTACCATACATAATCACCATTCATGATTAAAGTTAAATGGTCCATCATTTCGCACATATTCACGATTGGTTTGAGTTAAATCTGTGGTTTATGTTTGTTAAAAAAATTCCCTTTTCAATTTTTTTTTTAAATCTAAAGTTTGACACGAAAGTTCAGACAGGTGAATGATGATTTCAGGAATATTTATTATTGAAAGACCTCGATCGATTGTTCACACGTTTTCGATGGCAAAGATGAAACTTTGTAAATTGGACAACCGCGCTTTTTTGTCGCAGGAAGCCTATTTTCAATCCTATTCATACCTTGAATGTTTCTCTTTTAACAACGTTGTCTACAATCTTAGGCGTTGTTTTACTGCCGTGTATGGCTATAGCTGTCAAGTTAACAAAACTTTATTCTAATCGATATCCGTTTTTCTCATTAATTCTGACTTTTTTTAAAGGATTTCCATTACTTACTTAGAAATAACAGTTGAAATTATTATTTGAATAAATTTTTCAAAATGAATTTGAATTTGATACAATGTTTTTGAAACTGATTGCTTCTTGAAATAATCAAATGTAGTTTGAAGTCTTTGGAAATACAGTAGTTGATGTGTACTCTTTATAAAGGAACACAAAAGGACAATTTACAGTGACCAAATTTCATTTTAACTTACTTTATGTATACCCACTGCTTATTGGAATGAAATTAAAGGACTATATATTATAAGAGTCAGTTTTTACCCCCATATATCATTTTTTTAAGTGATTCTGGTATACATGATTTAAACATACCTTTTTCAGTTGCCTGTCCTTTACCCTGAAACATACAATGTAGTTGTTGATATATTTTCCAAGAAAATGTACAACTGATTCAATTAAAACATACTTCAGATTTTGTAATTTCTACAGCATGATATGATTAACTATAATGATTAACTAAGTAGAAAATTGTAAAGGTAGATGTGCATTATTTTATGAATTGAGTGACATTTTTGTGAGCATTTTTAGTTACTTAAGTGTTGATTCCCCAAACCTGAGGGATAAACTATCTTAAAATATACAATTTTCAGACTGACTTTGCCAAGAAGGAAATTGTACCTTTGTTCCGAGTATTTATTTTCTCTATATCGAAATATGTTGCAAAGTTTAAGTCCATAACACTCTCAACAATTGGATGTCAATGGACAGACAGCCATTTTTGTCTTCCCTGCGTTGATGTAGAATACATCACTATGCTCTTTCGATCATTAACCTTTAACATACTAGAGCTCTAATGAAGTTGAGGTGCTTGATTTATGACGCATTAGTATTTTGGAAATGGCTCTTGTAAAAATGTTTGTAATCAAATTACAACCAGATTCTTCACTTCAGGAGGTGGCACTCAGTTGTCAAACAGTACTACCGTAAGAATGCTACATATGCTTATCTATGAGCTAGATTGGAAAACCTCAACCGATGTTACTACCTAGATTTATAAATAATTTCCTTTTTGTCCCCCTGCTTTCACTGTAAGTTTGGGATATTATCGTATTAATTGTGTCTGTCCCTCTGTCATTTCTGTTAGTCTGTAACACTTTAGTTTCCGGATGATATCTCTGGAACACCTTTAGCTTTTGCAATAAAATTTATATCATATAACTCCCTAGGCCTATGACTTAAAAAGGCCCAATTTATTTTCAGGTCAAAAGATTAAGGCATAGGTCAGAAATTCGTATATTACATAAAATAGTTTGCATGTGATCACTTTAGTTCTCCGAGAGTTTTTGCAATAAAGGCAAGGTGCTCCTACACAGCAATAAGAAAAAAGAGCTAAAAACAACTACCGTAATTCCGCATGGAAGAACAAGAAATCCCTAAAGACAACATGGCCAGATTCCGATGGCATGGATGGGTTTACAATCAATCAAACCTTTCATTTTAACGATCGGTCTTTCTTGTTAACTCAGGGACTTAGGGAGAGGGCTAAAATAGGTTATGCCTGCTGTCCAATCCCATTCACTTCATGTGAAAAAAATAATGTATAATTAAATGTTACCTCATAATAAAACAAAGGACCCATAGGATTCCCAATGCCAAACCATTAACCGATTCAGTGTCAAAAACTACATAAAACTTTAGGTATTTGAAATACTGCATCTCAATTTTTCTCTACACACGTGTAATTTTAAGAAATATATCTTGTTACGACAGATGTCAAAGCCATCAAGCTATAATTCACAAGGTAGAGAAAAGGCGTTGTACCCAAATGACAATACAAGTACACGTACATTCTAATTTGATTTAAAATAAATTATGATTATCTGAATATATAAGAAATAATCTTCAATTAAACACTGAGGTGAAAGGTCAAGGTAAAAAGAGAGTTCGTTGGTCAGGCAGTACCATGTGATCCAATCAATCTGTCCTGCTTCACCTGTGTTTGAAGAAAGATAATAACATTATGCCATCCTGGAGGACAATTTACGAGTTTCATAATTATAAGCTACCGTTCACGGTAGCTCAGTCGGTAGAGCGCTCGCTCCGTGATCGGGGGGTCGTGAGTTCGAATCTCGGCCGCGACTGACGTAAGTCGATGAAAAATGGGTACCAATTGTACCTTCGCCATGCGCTCGGCACTTTGAAGTGAAAGTTGCGGGTCCTTCGGATGAGACCTTAAAAACCGAGGCCCCGTGTCACGCCAGCAGGCGTTGGCACGATAAAGATCCCTCACTGCTCAATGGCCCTGAGTGCCGAGTACAGGTCAAAATTTGAAGCCATTCATCGGTATATGGTGACATCTCTATAAAAGTGAAAAATTCTCGATCGAGACGTTAAACAACATAAAATCAATCAATCATAACTAAGCTAAAGGTCAAAGTCATTTAATCCTGATTACCTATGTGAGTTAAACCATGGTGGACTGAACAAAAAAATCATATTAATAACTACCCGATCATAAAACAGACCTAAGTCAATGGAAAATTCGAAATACTAGTTGTTACATCATCCAGAACCCTTACATGTATATAAATTTATCTTAATTAACTCTAGCTCGCATCAACCATAAAAAATATCTACGCAACCCCCCCCCTTTCCAAGCCCTCACCCCCAAAAAATCATTTGTATTTTAATTTTTTATACATTAAACATAATTCTAAAACTGAAATTATTATGCCCCCGTAATCAAAGATTCGGGGGCATATAGTTTTTGCCCTGTCCGTCCGTCCGTCTGTTTGTCTGCAAAAACTTTAACATTGCCCATAACTTTTGATTGGTTAGAGCTATGACTTTCATAATTTATATGTGTATTCCTTGTGACAAGACCTTTCTTTGGGTACCATCATATTTGACATTTCGACCTTGACTTTGGAGTTTGACCCACTTTTGCAAAATTTTACCCAACTTAACCCTTGGCCATAACTTTTGAACAATTGGTGCTAGGGCTTTCATACTTCACATGTGTAATCCTTGTGATATGTCCTTCTTTTGGATACCAACAACTTTGACATTTTGACCTTGACCTAGGAGTTTGACCTACTTTTGAAAAACTTTAACCTTTGCCATACATAACATTTGATGGGTTGGTGTTAGGGCTTTCACACTTCACATATATAATCCTTGTGACACGACTCTCCTTTGGATACCAACAACTTCGACCTTTGACCTTGGAGCTTGACATGCTTTTCGAAAACTTTAACCTTGGCCATCACTTTTGAAAAGTTGGTGCTAGGACTTTCATACTTCAAATATGTAATCCTTGCGAAAAGACCTTTCTTTGGATACCAACAACTTTGACCCTTTGACCTTGAACTTGGAGTTTGACCTACTTTTGAAAAAAATTAACCTTGGCCATAACTTCTGAATGGTTGGTGCCAGGGCATTCACATTTCGCATGTGTATTTTTATGAGAAGGCCTTTCCTTAGGTACCATTAATTATGACCTTGATCTTGATGTCTGATTGATTGATTGATTGTATGTTGTTTTACGTCCCATTCGAGAATTTTTCACTCATATAGAGACGTCACCATATACCGTTGAAGGGCTTCAAATTTTGACCTGTACTCGGCACTCAGGGCCATTGAGCAGTGAGGGATCTTTATCGTGCTAACGCCTGCTGGCGTGACACGGGGCCTCGGTTTTTAAGGTCTCATCCGAAGGACCCGCAACTTTCACTTCAAAGTGCCGAGCGCATGGCGAAGGAACAGTTGCTACCCATTTTTTATCGACTTAGGTCTGTCGCGGCCGAGATTCGAATTCACGACCTTCCGATCACGGAGCGAGCGCTCTACCGACTGAGCTACCGTGAACGGTTCTTGATGTCCGACTTACTTTTGAAAAACTTTAACCTTTTCCCTATCTATTCAATGGTTGCTGCTAGGGCTTTCATATTTCACAGGTATATTCCTCAAGCAGGCCCATAGGAAGCAATTTCAGTTTGGGGGGGGGGGGGGGGCACAGCCAAACATTTTCAGTTGAGGGGTCACTATCAACTACCAAAATTCCTTGACAAGCCAAAAAAAAAAAAAAGGTCATCAGCCGTTTTTATTGAGGGGGCACAAGCATATAGTAGCTAAGTTTTCTATAGTATTCCATATATTGACAAAATTATTGGGGGGGGGGGGGCAAGGCCCCCCCGTGCCCCCCCCCCCCGGTTCCTACGGCCATGTCAAGACAATACCTTACTTTGGGTACCAACATATTTGATTTGCATTTGAGAAAGTTTAATCTTCGCTCTAAGTTGCCATATGGGGGCATCTGTGTCACAGGTACTTGTGGACAGGACCCCCCCCCCCCCCCATATTAAACCCCGGGGCTTGTTGGACATTTTTTTCACAAATTATATTTATTGCACTTATTCATCATGTGTACAATAGGAAAAAAATAGTGAAAAACCCCAAAATAATCGTTCCACACAAAAATGCCCCACTATTTTGGGGTTTTCACGATTTTTTTCCTATTGTTTCTGATCTGTGTTTCACAAACACATCTTGTTTTGAATCAGTTCTGATTAATCTTTATCATTATATTTCATCAAAGTAAAGTGATTTTAACATTTTTCGTATACATTTTTTTATTTATCTTTTTTTAAACTTATTTCTTTTTTGCTTCATTTTCTTATTGGTCAAATACAATGTACTATTTTATTTGACTAAGTGGAGATCCAGAACACCCCCCAACTCTCCCCGGAGCACAAAGAGACATAAAGATCCTTTAGCCGGAGAAAGGATGAACTGGTCGAAAAAACATTGTGTGCCCCGAATTATAAGTTACATCGTGTAATTTAAAAAAAAACAAAAAAAAAATACTTTATACATACCATCCTTAGTTATTATGTCCAGCCATTCTATTGAACACGGAAACTTAGAGCGTCATTTCCAGACAATTAAGATTTTCTTAAGGATTTCGTAAACAGCTGTTTTGTGACGTGGAGAATTTCATGTCTGATTCATTCACGTAAATATGAACCCGAACGTGAACTCAACAAACGTACATCTAAATTTACAATTCAATGTGGGCGCTAGTAAAACGTCAGACAAATGTACACTAATTATCTCTCCCTTGTTCGTTAAGACAATGGGAATTATTCATGTGAAACTCTTAAACATTTACCTTAACCTTTTCATTTTACTTAAACATGTAGTTGTGGTTGCACGACTCAATACATCTCTCTCTCTCTCTCTCTCTCATACATAGATTGTGTTTTGAAAGGTATGTACTACGTTTAAAGTTCCAATAACTTAATTCTTTGAACAGCGACACGGAACTGTTAGTAAAAGAGACTTTTGTCTCACAAGAATGCGTTTTGTAGTATATTTCTATTGTGAGTAGTGTTATAT